ACTGTAGGAAGTTGACAAGGACTTAGCCTTATTAGTGACTTGTTACCAGGATTACCTCTTTTGGGATATGGAGCCTGCTGGAGTGACCCACCTTTTCGTCAGTGATGGCAGCCCATGTTCATGGTTAATCCAATAGGCCACAGTTTGTTAATGCAGGTTCCTATGGTCATGTGACTTTCTGGTGAAAGATCAAGAAAGCCTGCTTTCTTTTCACTACTCCATTTCATATTACTAAATAAAGGAGTCTCTTTCTTTGGAAGAAAAATTGTGTTCCCCTTTCAACTAACTCATTTGGCAGGTAAAATAAATGCGTAAGTTCTACGACCGTGTCATTGAAAACTGGAAGGTCTTGTCATGCTTTGTTTATAAGCATCTTTTTTCATTTTCTTATTTTTCAGTCTCCATTTGACCTACCACAGCATTCTGTGGTTAGAGTACACATTCAGTAGAGTAGTAGTCACAGAGAGAAAGGAAAGTCGGGGATGGCATTTAAAATTTTATCTAATTTCCCAGACACTGATAAGAGCACATCTAAAAGGCCTGTCCATGACTAATGGTAAAGGCGGCTAAGACTGACTTCTCCACTCCTTCCCTGGTCCTGTCAGGTCCTGGATCTGCCTCTGATGCCTGCTCATTTCCAAGCAGGCCAAGGCAGAGATGCCTCCAACTGCTGTTCCATTGATGGTGGTGCCCAACGTGGTCATGGATGCATGTGTTCTTGTGCCCTAGGAACCCTGTGACTATCTGCTCAGAAGGGACAATGATCTGGAGAGAAACTTGTCCACTGCGATGTGCCACCAGCATGCAGCCCTGTAGGCTGTGGGTGTTTGCCGAGTCCTAATCACATGCAGGTGCACAGCCCTTCGCAGTGGCCAGTAGTAGGAGGAAGCCCAGATGTTCTGCAGAGCCTGAGCTGGGTGGATTTGCAGAGGCGGGATTCTAGTCCCTCTGTGAGGGAGGGAGACCCTGCAGGTGCACCGCGCCCCCTGACTGTAATGGGCGCCCAGTCACAGGGTCACATTCTCATCCCAGGGAAGAGGAATTTTCCCATAGACTTACGCAGCAAGGAAATCTATCCCTGTGTGGGGAGGTCAGCACAGGCCCCTTTGCCAGAATGTTTGAGGAATGCAACACAAAATGAAAATGCTCGATTATCCCAGAGCACAGTCATGTGTATTGTTGCTGTAATTCCCATTTGGGGTGCTGCGCGGGGTTAGTGCTCAACAAATAATAAACTACATATTTGGTAGTTGCTAATACCCAAACTCCAGAGGTTTTCTAATTGTAGAAGAATGGAAGTAACAGTTGCAGCCGTATCAGACAAGATGAATGGGACACAAGGGATAGTGGCCTTGCTTCCTTGCAGTCCCCCAGTGCCAGACACAAACAGTCTGCAAGGATTCAGACATCCTTGAATCTATCTGACCCAGTTGTGCACAGCTCTGCTGGGGAAACACTTAAGGGATGAAAGAGCAAGTGTCCATGTCTGCACTCCCACTGATGTGTCAGTTTTAAGATGAAGAAGCCCTGAGATGTGATTTCCTGGTAGTCTGATCCAATGTGAGAATTGCACTTTTTCATAGCTTGCCTATTAGGCATGGTATAAACTTTTTATTAATTTAGATAACAAAATTTATAGACTACCCTGAATAGCAGGGTATGCCATTCAGGAGGGAAGGGCCCTCATTACTCAGACACTTCCCATTAGGACCCATATTCGATATGCCCTGACAGTACAGAGATGACTAAGACAGAAGGCCATCTTCTAGGACTCTCCTGAGGGAAGGGGTGTTGGTGGAAGCAGGGAGGAATAGACTTCAGAGACACAATTCCCGCAGCAATGATAAGTCATTCAGTAGACACAGGCCAGGCCAGGGGTCATGAAGGCTGGCAGGGCGTGGGAGGGTGGGAAGGACTGCTCTGGGAGGCAGGAACAGTTGGTATTTTGGGCCATGTCTCATGGGGTGGGGTAGAGGATGGGTGTTATCAAAGCTGGAGCAGTGATTCCTGTACAGGGGAGCCCACAGGAAGCTCCCGTGCCTGGCATGAGACCAGGTGGCTATGGAAGAGTTGCAGAGGTGCCGGCCATGTGACTGCAGCCACAGCACTGACTCCCAGTATGTGGGCTTGCTTTTTCTCAATCCACTGCCTTATGCATTTTTTTTGCCCTTTGAAAACTGGTCTCTGTTATAGCTTTCATTCTTTTAAAACTACTCATTTATTACCAACTGTCTACTCTTCACTTCCTCTGTCAATCGGGTCCTCATTTGCCCTTTGCGTGGCTCTCTTTGCCGGCTCTCCACTTTTGCTAGGCTTGCCCCCTGTGGCCTCCAGGAGGCAGCATGATGCAGTGGAAAGAGGGGATGAAGTGGTGGCTCTGGAGTAGAGGCCTGAATTGGAATATGGCTTAGTTCATTTTCTGTTGCTATAATGGAGTACCAGAGACTGGGTAATTTATAAAGAAGAGATTTATTTCTTACAGTTCTGGAGGCTGGAAAGTCCAAGATTGAGGGGCTGGCATCTGGTGAGGACCTTTGTGCTGCATCCTCCCTGGCAGAAGGTGGAAGAGCAAGAGAGCATGATAGAACAACAGATCATACTCGCAGCCTAATAGCATGCCTTTTTATTACTGGCATTAAACCATTCAGGAGGGAAGGGCCCTCATGATTCAGACACTTCCCATTAGGACCCACCTCCCAGCAGTTGCCTTGGGGATTACGTTTCTAACACGTGAACTTTGGAGGACACATGCAACTACAGCAGAATCCCAGCTCTGTCATCTACTAGCTGTGAGGTCCTTAGCAAGGCACCTCAGTGGTGATGTGTATAATGGGCATAGTGAGAACATCACAGGATTGGGAGGCCTAACTGAGACACTGTAAAGGTGTAGGGGTGAGCAGCGGGGGTAAGAGATAATCCTTATCTGGATTAGCTCTCATCCACTCCAAACCACCTATCCAAGTTCTACCTGTTCTAGGACTAGGGGCAACCTCATCCTCTTCTCTTTTCCAAGAGCTTTCTCTTTATAGAACTGTAGAACCACCCAGAGCTTTCTCTGTCTCTCACTCATGCTCTGAGGATGCTCACCCAGCATCACACTCAGTGACACTAGTCTTGCTATAGAGATGCCTTCAGCCTGGTGGGAAGGACCAGACCCATGTCCTACAGATACTCCTCACCTGGGCCAATATGATCACTTACCCATGTCTGTATGGGACACAGGCAGAAATTTCAGTCCTCTTAAAAAGTGATTAGAAGAACACTCATATGAGCTTCGCTGTCCTCAGCATTCCTGCAGAAGAGCTTCATTCAAGGCCCTACAGATGCATTTGTTCACAGAGCACACTCAGTCCCAGCCTCCAACCTCTCCTTAAGGCCCACCCCCAAGGGAAGGAGCAGCCCAAATATATCCTTGCCTCTTCTCTTCTGCAAGAGAAGGCCAGGCACAGAGATGTCTCATGCCACCTAAGAAATGCTTTGCTTCCCACATCTTTTCTAAATCGACGTTAGAACATCCTGGGCTGTGTGCAGGGAGGCCTACATGGGCTGAGGCCAGAAAGCTAAGCCAGGTGAGCAAGTGTTATCCCTGCGTAAGAGCCAAAATGCTGACTGCTGGAATCAAGTTACAAGCCTGGTGAAACAGTGCAGGGACTGAGATACCACAGGGTCCTCCGCTATACTAAAGAGAAGAGAAATGAAAGGAAAAAAGGAAAAACACGTTTGCTGTCCTCCTTTAGGTACCATTTTATAGAGCATCTACCATATGCCAGGCAACATACTAAATGCTATATGCATGACCTCATTTTATCTCCCTTAAAAAAAATAAGGAGCAGGGAGGTGAAGTCTTATGTCACAAACCTAACAAATGACAGATCTGGGATTTGAACCCAGGTCTTCATTTACTGTGTACAAGAGGAAATAGCCTTTCTGGAAAAGAAGCAATGAGACACCGATGCAGGAGATAGCATGGTGGGATTTTAAAATAATTATTTTTACAAATTCTAAAACATCTCAAACTTCCAAAAAATCTGCAAGTACAAAGAACATTATTTTCCCCTCAACCATCTGACAGTAAACAGACATGATGCCCTTCACCCCCAGATACTTCCGTGTCTCTAGTACAAACAAGGACACTCTCTTACTTCTCCCCAGTACAACCACTGAAATCAGAAAATTAACAGTGGCATCTTACTCCCAACTAATCTTCAGACCTCATTCAAGTTGTGCAAATTGTCCCAACAATGTCTTTTATAACAAAAACATCCAATTCACAATCAGATGTTGTGTCCGATTGTCACGTCTCTTTAGTCTCCTTTAATCTGAAATATTTTTATTTATTTATTTTTTTTGCTCTTTTTTAAAAATTATTTTAGACACAGAGGTCTTGTTTTTTACACAGGCTGGTCTCAAACATCTAGCCTCAAGCGATCTTCCCAGCTTGTCCTCCCAAAGTGCTGGGATCACAGGTGTGAGCTACGGCACCCAGCCTGGTTTTGTTTTAAATATAATGTAGGATGAAGAAAAATCAAGCCTTTGGTGGTCCCTGTCTCTCCAAAGGTTGAGTGGAGAAGCGTATGGTGAGAGGCCCTTGGTGGCCATGGACATCAGGCCACACAAGCCACAGCGGGCTTGTGGAGATTCTGATGGCTCAGAACAGACTAGGAACAAACATGGGCATGGTCAAGGCTCAGTCGCTGAGCACTAGGTAACTCTGCAGGAAGTTAAAACTTTCACAAAGACCATCTATGTGGTTGACTGGGACATACAGCCAGAGCTGCTTCTGGAAAATGGATTTCATCCACTGTCCATTTTAGTCTAATCCCTAATGAAACAGAATGAACTTCAGTCTCTTGAAATCTGATTCTTCCACCTATGAAAAAAGCAATGAGAAAGGTGGCTTTTCATTTTAAAAGAGAGACTTTGAGCTGAGTCTAACTCAGGAGAACTGCTCAAATTGTACCCTCTCTTCCCAACCCAGAGATCAGGCCAGATGAGATCAGAAATGCTGGTAAAACATTTATTTCAAAAATTAATTTGGTGCTCAGATGATAAATACAAATTAAGAACCAGTATCTTTCTTAGGCTCTAAAAACCAGAAATAAGACACAATTTCATACATGCAGACTTTTGAAATATGGAGTAATGTTTAAAATAACAGCTAAAAGAAAAGCTCTGAATGTTACTCTTTATTCTGGTAGGTATGATTTACCCAGTATTGTTTATGTGCCTTGATTTAGTATTAGTGAGTATCTCCTGTATGCAAGGCACTCAGAGCCATGATTCCTAGTTTCTAATATCCAATTTCTAGGCCTCTCATGCAGATGCCAATAAAGGCTCTGTGTGCAGCCCTGTGCTTATGGCCTGTGTATCTATTAGCTCTTCCCCTTGGGCTAATAGCACTCCTTGTCTAGAGCTTGGCTTTTCCCCTCTGAGAAGTTACTTGCTGTGATGTAGAAGCTATGCCAAAGCACAGTAACTCATTGAGCACTAAGCAGTAAGTTGGCAGCAAATCAGAGCTGAATCTTTCATCAGGGGGCTTTAGGTTTTGAGGGGAGGGACATCTCATTGTCCTTAGGGAATGATAATGCCATGAGGGATTTCCTCTAGGAGAAAAAGGAATATTTCTGATACATCATCAACTGTCACTGCAGTATGTGTTTCTCAAGATTGAGTCAATTTAGAGGAGGCAGCAATATTGTCAGCCCACTCTAGGCCAGGGAACATGTGTCTTCTCTGCCAGACCTCAATGTGTCTAGAGAAGGTGAATTCACATAACTTAACGGCTGAGTTTGGTTCATTAACAAAATTTCTTTCCAGCAAGTGAAGTTAATGCAGAAATAGAGAACTAATGTATGGTAATGCTTTACTCAGCAGTTTAAAAGATGCTTTTAAAAATTATTCACTAGAAGATTTCCAGAAGAAAAGAATCATTAAGTAGCTAAGAACTCTATCCTTGATGGCTAGCACACTATTTGGCTCATTGATGGTCTTTAATAGAGTTTTACTACAAGAATTACAGAAGGAGCAACTGCATGTTGGCACATCCAAACCTGCTTCGGGACAGCCCAGTGCCTCACCATCCTGAATCTGGAGAGGAGGAGCCTGCAGGGAGCTTACAACCTGGCAGGCTAAGGCTCACCATAGAACTTGCTGGTTGTCTTGTGGCAGGAGGCACAGTTGGGGTCCTTCAACAACTCTTTATCTGGTTAGCTGACCACAGTAATGTCTGGTGAACCTTATTCTCTGTCTAGTGCAGGTACATTAGACGTCACACTGATTATCTCAGCCAAGATCTATGCTAAGTTAGTCTGGGCTCATCTTCGTCTTCTGTCTTAAAGGAGACCCAGGTTCACTTCCTGCTCCTGGAACGTGAGTGTATCCTTGTCATAATCACATACACTTCACATGTCTAACTATACTCTTAACATTCACTGATTTCTTTTACATTTTCTAGTAGGTATTTCATAATTTCCTCCAGAAGAGCCTATTCTACAATGTAATTCAATTAAAATCAAGTACATGTAGACTTTTTTTTCATCTGCAAAGATCCCGCCTACCAAAATAAACCATATGGTGCCACTGGGCATCTCGTGCAAACATGAGACTCTGTGTAGATCACTGTGTTCCCTGAGTCTTGGAAAATGTATGGTTAAACCTATGGAATGATTCATCAACTGTGTTTACTTCAGCCTGTAACATGGCGAGCTGAGAGATGGTTTGTAAGACAAGGGTTCTCACTTTCTTCATTTCTAGTAGCAGTCTTCAAAATGAAACATTTACCTACTAAGTCTAGTATACCGACTGCCTCCATGTACTGGCAGTGGGGGCTTGTTCCTCAGGCCAATTTACATTTTGGACAGGTCATCCTTTAGGGAGTCAGCAATCATGTTTGCCACTTCCTGGTTAAAATGGGTGATGAAAGCATGAGGTATGTTTTTCTCACAGAGTCGAATGTCTCCTTCTGGAAAATCTTTCTTAATGTCTTCATAGTATTCTTTTGGACACCAAGGATCTATAGTACCATAATAAAATGTAAGCTGAAAGACAAGACAAAAACATTTTATTAGAAAACACATTCCCTTCCCGACACAGATATGACACCAGCAGCCGGCAGTGCTCTGAGGACAGCACCTATGCCTGGCCCTGCGAGCTAGTCCCTAAGCGCTCTCCAGAGTGTGGCTCTCTCAAGGTAGCAAGGCTTCGCAATGTACAGGGGTGCACTTAGAAGAATTTGGTGGGAAGATACCCATGCTGGGAGACTCTTGTGTGATAGATCCCTCATAATTCACTGAAAGGACTTACCAGGAAAGTTTTGTGTACTGAGGTTGGGATGGACTCTGGAATGAAGGCCGGTGAGGATGACGAAGAGAGTTATTGAGACACAGTCACCAAATGACTAATGACCAGTTAATAAATTTAGTTGTTTCCAAATAGCCACATGGTAGTCATATGGGATATATTTGTTGAATGAATACAAACATGGATCAGATAGACTCAGGCTTTCCAATGTAGCTGATGAAATGTGATCAGAATCCTAAGAAAAGGTTCTATGCAGCCTGTATGTTGATTCAGTGGGGAAGTGCAATAATCATACTTTAGTTGACAGCAAGCAGCTGAATGGAGACAGAGCCTCCTCTGTGGCATTACTAAGACCCTGAATGGATATCTACCTAAACCTGCATGTGATATGTGTGTATACATTGCTCTAGGCTGCTGTGTTTCACTGAAAAACTGCTATGTTCTAGTTCTGTTAGTTCTAAAAATAAAGGCGAAAAAGCAATATCTTATATTCCGAAGGATAGATAGTGGCAATTTCTACAAAAACCAAGAACTAAATCTTAAAGATCCTTTGACCTCTGTTATCACTGAAAGAAAGAGTTGTGCCCAGCTCCAGCTCCTAGCTGGCCAGCTGTAGTCACTTGCAGCTTCCCTAATATACCAAATGTGCTCCCTCACTCCCTGAATTGCTTACTCATTCCTTGGATCAGCAAATACACATGGAACACCTACTTTGTATTAGGAACCTGGAACATAGAGATAAGACAGTCTTGGGGGAGGGGAGAAGGGGACCCCATGTACACAAAACAATTTGAGAGCTCAGGTGAGGCACAGCTGGTCAGAAGTGGTGGGCAGGAAAGATGCCCCAGAGTTGATGCCAGAGTTGAGTCTTCAAGCTGGGGAAGCACACTGTGGGGAGAGGACCAAGCAAACCAAAGCTTGAAAGAGCATGGCATGTGTGGGGAACTGGAATTCCACATGGCTGGAATATAGGGTGGTGGGAGATAAGACTGGAGAGGCGGAAAGGGATGAGGTCATGGACAGCATTTTCTATGCACGCCAAGGAGGTTGCACTTTATCCTGAAGTCCACAAGCAAAAAAAGACTGCACAATGAGGTGACATGCTCAGGTCCCTATGTCAGGAAAACCGCTCTGGCCACAACAGGAAGAGGGATTGGAGGGGATCAAGTGGTGGGGGAAGAGGGTGCAGGGAAACAGGCGTTATTGCTTACTGGATAGTTTTAGTGTATCAATTATTAAATCCATGACCTGAATATGGGACAGATGAGACTGATCTTACAAAAACAATGGTCTTTATTACAATAACATGATGTCTTAACCAATATTTAAAGAGAGAGTTCGTTAAAAACACTTTATAGAGGAAAAAATTTACTCCAGAGAGTAAATTATGAACAAGTAAACCTCAAGTAGCAGACTTACTGTGAATTGCTTCATGGAGGTTTCCTTTTTTTAAAATTATATTTCAAATTCTGGGACACATGTGCAGAGCGTGCAGGTTTGTTGCATAGGTATACATGTGCCATGGTGGTTTGCTGTACCCATCAACCCGTCATCTACATTAGGTATTTCTCCTAATGGTGTCCCTCCCCTAGCCCCCTACCCCTCGACAGGCCCTGGTATGTGATGTTCCCCTCCCTGTGTCCATGTGTTCTCATTGTTCAACTCCCACTTATGAGTGAGAACATGCCATGTTTGGTTTTCTGTTCCTGTGTTAGTTTGCTGAAAATGATGGTTTCCAGCTTCATCCATGTCCCTGCAAAGGCCATGAACTCATTCTTTTTTATGACTGCACAGTATTCCAGCTTCATGGAGGTTTTCTTGGTTGTTACCTGGGGTTCCAGTTTTGCACGCTGCAGAGGGCCTGCAACTTACAGATTTATCACTTAATTCATTCTTCACATTCTCCTACTTTTCCTTACTCCAACCATTTCCGGGCATTCCAAAGCCCCTAAAGCCAAAATTCATTTTGCCATGGTTCTTAGCAGAGTAAGAACTTCTTTTGTTTCCTGGAGAGTGTGAGGGCCTAGCAGTTGCCTGGTTCTTCCTCCTGGTCTCAGCTCCTTCCATAGCTCTAAAATGCTGCAACCTCACAAACAGTGGGAGACCATCCTGTCCAGTAGTAGAAAAACAAGTTTCCCAGGATCTCTCAGCAACTACCCTACTATAGCTTTGCCTTGAAATACTGTCAAGAGTACAAACTATTTGCAGGTATCAATTATCTACCAATAGTGCTGACAACATTAGGCTCTCTCTAAGCTACTCCCTACACTTACCACCAGCAATCTTTTCTATTGTATTCAGGAAATAGGATAAGGAACAGTCGCTATGCAGTTAACTCAGCACTTCCTCAGAACAGGGAACACTGCTGAGAAATCTGGAAAGTCAGACTTGGGTTCATGCCCATCAGTTCTGTTCCTCTGCTCCAGGGCATGCTCTCACCTCAAAATCTCTGGACCTTGAGGCAGCTACTCTAGGACCCTCACTCCAGTACAAGCTACAGTGTGAAGTCCTATGATAATGGCAGTCAGCTTAAAGGAAAGCCAGATAGAAAAGACCTCATCTAATACAGTCTCCTCGACAAGAAGAGCGTCACTACGCACCACTGTTGCTTTCTGCCTGACATTTCAGACTGTTTCCATGAAGAACGTACCATTTACTTTTCTGTGATGCAATTACAACTTGAAATGCTTCCAATGAGAAGTCCAGCTTGATGAGCCCTCAGCACTGAGCATCCCTGTGCATGCAGTTAAAGCAGTGATTTGAGCAGGGGTGATCAACATGGATTAAGGGACCTGACACCCACCTCGGGGTATCAAGAGACAAATATGTCCAAGTAATTATGGGGCACATGTCCAAGGCATGTGCTGGGAACCTCAACAAAGAGTGGTGTCAGTGTTCAAGACAGCAGAACAGTGAGGAGTCTAGACCTCCCGTATGCTTATCTGATTTTATTTCTCAATTCTCTACAATTGTTAACCGTTTGAAGTGGGCCCCATTCGGTTAAACGCCCAACTGATGATGGTGGGCTCACATTTTTTAAAATTTTGTTTTCTTTTACTATTTCTTTTTCAGGCTATATTCTCTAAAGGGCTTCCTATGAAAGTCTTGGCTTACAAGTAAAACACGTGGTTATCTAATGCCTTTACGTACACTGGCTTGAGATACTTCCTTTTCCCTATAAATTATAAATCACAGGCAATAGATCTGACTAGAGGACTCTGCACCTGCAGCCCTGGACAGGAAAATGAGAAAGTATGGAGTGTGTGGTGGCACTGGCGGGGGATGGGGGAGGAGGGGTGAAGTAGAAAGAAAGAGAAACAACTGGACACCAAAAACATAGTGGTTAACAGTGCATACTCTTATTTAATGGTATGTAAAAATGAATCGCAATGCAACATGATGAGCTGATGGGCTGAGAGTAATGGCCAGGCTCTGTGCTAAGTAAGCACTTTACATGTATTATCTTGTTGTATCCTCACAACAATACTCTAAGGAAAGTATTGTACCCATATTTTACAGAAAAGGAAACTGAGGCTTAGCAAGATTAACCTGCTTATTTCAAGCAATTCTGCATTGAAGAGCTGGGCTACAAATCCACAGACAACATTCCTAACCTGTACCTTTTGCTACTATTTACAATTCCAGTAAATAGACCCATGTTATAAAAACACAAAACCTGACAACTGACAGGTCTTAAACTGGATATGAAAACTAACAGAGTGTGAGAGTTGTCAACAGGAGCTAACCCAGCCATCTTTATTTTTATTTACTTATTTATTTTGAGGCAAAGTCTTACTCTGGGCCCAGCCTAGAGTGCAGTGGTGTGATCTCAGCTCACTGGAGCCTTGATCTCCTGAGCTCAAGTGACCCTCACACCTCAGCTTCCAGGGTAGCTGGAACCACAACTGCATGCCACCATGCTCAGCTAATTTTTAAATTTTTTTTGTAAAGACAAGATCTCCCTATGCTTCCCAGGCTGGTCTCCAACTCCTGGGCTCAAGTGATCCACCTACCTCAGCCTCACAAAGTAGTTAAATTACAGGCATGAGCCACAGCACCCAGCCTCCCCAACTAACTACCTTTATTTAAAGCCTTCTCACAGTCTATGTAGCTCTTCTGAGGCACTGTGTGTCATGGGGGTGATAACCGCTGTGAAAGTACTGGTATTGTTAACAAAGAATCACAGGCAATCAGCAGGATGTTTACATTCAAAGGTTTAGAAGAAAATAAATTATTTCCTGTAGTGTATTTCTCCTTAGCACTTGTTTTGGTACTCATGAGAGTTGATAAAAAGTATACATCATTGTGATAGAAACTTTTCTGTTTCCAAATTGTCATGTTAAGTAACCCATTGTTTTCTATTAAGCACAAAATGTAACTTTTTCAGTTCTAAATTTTGATTCCCCAGAACCACGCTTTAGCTTTTCCTCCTGTGTTTTCTGCAGGAAAGTGGATTTATGGTTACTATGGTCTCTTTGCTCATAGATGAACTTCCCTTTAACTCTTTAGTGTGTGCCTAAGGAGACACGTCCCTCCTAAAATATCCCTGCAGGTTGCTGCAGCTTGTCCCCATGTTTGTCCTTTCTCCTCCGTGTTTTCTCTTTCTTCCACTTTTTGGGGGTCTACAAATGGGTACTTTTGGACAGTGAATTACTGAAGCTGATAGATTAAAATGAGTTGCCCCAAAAATGACTCTGAATCTATCCCATATCTGGTACTGGGCTAAGTGGCTGACATT